TGCAGAAAGGATAGATAGGGCTGACGGGGAAAGATTCTGGAGGATTTGTGAGAGCCTTTTCTTTCGATTAACTTTTTTGTACCCTAGATCAGTTATGCTAACATGCTAGATCAGTGGCGTTAGTAGCTAACAATGTCCCTTTTTGCTTTAGTTTAAGCCCCTGCATAAGCCAATTAATTCTACTTAGGTGTTGCTATACCTGTATTGAAAAGTTTATATGGTAACTAGGGGGCAAATAAGAAAACTATATGTGAATTATAACTCAAATTAAGCACTGAAGTGGAGAACTCCTTTTTATTCAGTTTCTTCAAACACTTTATTTGTAGAAGTGTTCTGGATGGATAGTTATTTAATCAGCCCAGAGAGCTGCTTCTCCTTTTACACACTTGATATCTCCCGCAGCGCTGTTCGTGTCTGTCATGAAAAATAACATCTAAAATGGGTTATAGGCAGAATCCATGACTGTGAGTGAAAGGCAAGGGATTGGTCAGCTCACAAAGGGTTGTAATGGATATTCATCGCTTGGAAGTCTTGCAGGTTGCAGTGATGTTACTTGCCTGAATGAATTCATCAGAGGAGTATGGGGCTGCAATACACCTGACTTCTTTCAAACATGGAATTTTTCCTCTCTGCGCTTCCTCTCTGCAGAATTGGAATATTAGAGGCATTTGCTTGGGATTTCTAGAGCTAAAGGAACCCAGACATGTCTGTTGTTCCTGAGCAGCTTCACAGTTGCTCAGTTAAAGGTCGGAACACCTTCAGAAATGTGCCATGCTGGTGGCTGTCATGTTAGCCATGAATCTCCAGTGCAGCCCTGCTCCTAAATACTGTGCCTGCATAGGAAAGCAGAGCATGTATGTCTCGGTGTGCTGGATAGCCTACTGCATTACTTGCTTGTAGGGATACTGTTAGGGCATGGGGTCAAACATGCGAGACCACAGTTTTATTAAGGTCGCCTTCAGCTATATGACATAATTGAGATGTTTCTTTGCTTTCTAGATTTCAAGAATATTTCTGAATTTCAAGAATAAAACTTAGGCTGTGTGGATTCAACCTAAATTGACCCAAAAATGTCTCACTCTGTTCTGTCTGGTGCTCTGACGTCTAATATTCCAAGCACATCACTGTCAAATTGAAAACTTAACAGCATTTTTAAATATTCCTGAAACTGTGCCTTGATATACATATATATATATTCTTTTAGTGTACAGTCTGTGCCATAAATTCCACACAGAGCCAGACATTTCTAGAAAAAAATGTGCAGGTTAGTTTTTGTTGCCAAAGCTTTTCCAACTTATTGCTACCTGACTTTAAGAACTACTGAGCTGGATTGCTTTCTACTTAATATTGTTGAATGTTAGCTTAAATTTGTAAGGAATTCTGTCTGATGGGTGGCAAATGAAAAGTTGTAGTGTGCACATAGATGATATCTGATATCTTCACTTCAAAGTTATAGCTAAATTACAGAGGTTTTTGGTTATTCTTCTTCTTTATCAGAATCGTGTAGAAATAAATGATGTAGACCCTGAAGTTTTTAAAGAAATGATGAGATTCATTTACACAGGAAAAGCACCAAACCTTGAAAAAATGGCTGACAACTTATTGGCAGCTGCAGACAAAGTAAGTAATTAGCTCCTAAATTCTCAGAATTGCTGTTTGTTTATAGAACATGCTTAAATTTTTGCAAAATTGCTGTATATTTTGATTTCTTTAAATGAAAAGAAAAACAGGGGGCTCATGAGAATTGCAGAATAATGGGAAAGGATAGAAAGATTTCTAAACCTTCTCCTGCTAAAAAATGTCTGTCAATCTTCTTTGACCAGAAACATTTGAGCTATTAATTACATTTACTATACAATTTTTTTCGAAATTGAGTACTGCTAATATAGCTTGAAAAATCAGTCTTTGAATAAAATGTCTCCTACATCTTTATATTCTTGAAGAGGATTAATACAACTACTCGAATAACTGACTTCCCTAAAGTACTGCTACTTCAAAACTTTTTTTTTTGTCTTCCCTACAAACTGAATAGTTGTAATCATTCATTTCTTCTGTATTGGGATCTTTACTGCTCTTTAAATCATTGTTTTTCCTACTCTGATTATTGAGATGAGTGGACTGCACTTCATCAAGGTGAGATTATTCCCTTTCATACTGTAACTTTTTCTAACTTTTTTTAAACTTGACCTAGTACCATTTTCTGTCTCCACTGCTTTAGAGCTTGAGTTGAAATTTTAGTTGACCGTCTTCAGAGAGCACTTAGTTGTCCTTTCCTGAGGATGTTTAAGTAGCTTAGAGCCCAGAAAATGTTTCTTCTAGTGTGTGTAATCATAAACTTTTCCACTCCAATTTTGTCACATAGCCTAATGTTGTAGATTTTTTTTAATCTAATTTTTCTTGAAATATTTCAGTTGTTTCTGGGATTTTACTTTACAGAAGCTATGACATTTCTACTATCACCTTGCTTTATACTTTAGGGCATGGCCAAATCAAGACATAAGCTGCCATAGCAACGTTCTTAGGTGTTACCATCTCTATAGCTGTCCATCACTGGTTCTGCAGCCAACCCTTTCTATTTAAAAAAATAAAAATAAAAAAATGTTCATAGACTTTATGTGCAGTTGCCAGCTTATTTTTTCTAGTACTGAAAGTAGCTTAAGAAAACTCTACTGAAGGGAGGCTAAGAATCTTTAGCTGAAAGTATGGCAATTTCTTGCCACTGTTTCCTTAAAATACTGGTAGTGAAACTGCGTGTTCTCAGAATCACAGAATGGTTGAGGTTGGAAGGAATCTCTGGAGATCATCTAGTCCAACCCCTCTACTCAAGCAAGGTCCTCTAGAGCAGGTGCCTAGGATAACGTCCAGGTGGGTTTTGAGTACCTCCAGGGAGGGAGACTTCACCACCTCTCTGGGCAACCTGTTCCAGTGCTCTGTCACCCTCACAATCAAGAAGTTTTTCCTCATGTTCAGACGGACCTTCCTGTGTTTCAGTTTGTGCCCGTTGCCTCTCGTCCTGTTGCTGGGCACCAGTGAGAAGAGGCTGGCCCCAATCAGTCCTATCACAGTGATGAAAATCTTCTCAATAGCTAATTTCAAGAAGTGATTAAATGTTTGGGGTTTTTTTTGGCAATTTAATGGTGGGTTGCTTTTTTGATTTTTTTGCTGTTGCTTCTCTTTATTTTGTTTTTTAAATCTCCTGAACTGTCCATATCCTCACTTTGGTGACTTTACCACTGTTGTTCTTTCCTTGCTTCATTGCCAAAACTGATTGCATTTTGACAATTTTCAGCATACTCAAGTGGGAAGGAGAGAGATATGGTGTTATTTTAGTAATACTAGCTTTCATTTAGGGAATAATTGATAAATGTAGAGAGTAATATGAGGTGTATGATTATCTGCAGTAGCAGGTAATAAAGGTGGTGAGCTAGGAGATCCCTGTAGCTTATTGTGACAATGAAGAACTGCTAGAAACTTTGTGCTATTCCTTCTAAATGTGAAATAATTATCTAGATAAGAGTATTCTGCATATTACCAAAGGAATTACACTATTACCTGGTAGGTACAGATCTGACTGATATTTATGTACTCTAAATGGAAGCATCCTGAGGCGATGTAATGATAAAAAGGAAGTAAAGATGCATAGGTCTAGAAACATAAAAATTGGCCCAAGAATTTGACTTTTTTCAATGGTGTTTTTTATTGTGTGGAACAGTTACTAATACAAATGTATGTGTGACCATTTGAGAAAATATATATGTGTGTATATATGCGTGCCACTTATGCTTCTAGAATTCTTTTCAGACTTAAAAACTGTCTGAAGAATGCTAAACTAAATGGGATTGAGAAGATCTCAGTAGAAATATATACAGCTGAACAGAAACTGTTCAATGTATGACATCTTTCAAAAAAGCACTGCTTATTTCTGCAAAATATAGTATCATGGGGATATAATTATTCTGCCTCTTTTTTTATTAGGCTGTGTCAGGGTATGAGAGAAACTAATATTCAGAGATGGAAAAGAACCTAGAACAAGTTGATTTCAAACAGACTAATAAATTTTGCCTTGTACAGTTTCATGAAACTTTCCATTGTGCAACTTCTTGCCCCTTCTTGCTTTGAGGTATCAGTCCATCTGATAGGGCTTTGACTAAAGTACCTGTGCCTTTTCTTAGCATTCCTTCAGTTTGGTAAGGGAGAAGTAAAAACATCCAAATGAGTTGTTTTTGTTTTATTAAAAGTTCTCCCAGTAACACACTTAATCAGTTTGTGTCTAACATAATGCATTTTTTTATTATCTGAGGGTTCTTAGATGCAATGCATTGTATTTCGAATTACCTGTTTGGAAGAACAGTGGTCCTGAGCTTGAGAAACACTGGGCGTTTTCATGACTAGAACTGTCTTTAATACTGTCTGTAGAGATAACAGTAGAAAGAATAAGTTTGAAGAATGATTAGTGTAGTTTTTTCTTTTGTCAGTATGCACTGGAACGGCTGAAGGTCATGTGTGAGGAAGCACTCTGTAGTAACCTCTCGGTAGAAAATGTTGCTGACATTCTTATCCTCGCAGATTTGCACAGCGCTGAACAGTTAAAAGCACAAGCAATAGATTTTATTAACAGGCAAGTAGCATCTGTGAGACTATAAATATATTTGATGTCTATGCTTTGCATACCTTCTCAATATTTGCACAGTTCTCTCTATTGCAGGTGCAGTGTTCTTAGACAACTTGGGTGTAAAGATGGGAAAAACTGGAATAGCAAGTAAGTTTTCCTACCTCACTGCATTATCTACAAACACTCATAAATCGATTACAGATCTTAAGAAGTGTTACTTTGAAGAGGTATTACTGTTTCCACAGTATTGAGTCAAGTCGCTGATTGTAAGTGAAGTAAAATTCAGCAGATACTTCCCTAGTTATGATTGTGACTTTTCCTTTAGAGGATATGAGGAGTTATCTGCCCTCTGCTGTGAGATAATGGTAGCTAGTTTTGTTCCCCATCTGAGGACATATCAGTGCTGTGAGTAGGTGGCAGCAGATTTTATAAAGAAAACAATTCTCTTCAGTAATCAGGTGCGTGTTTGGAGAAGTGGCAACCTAGGTGTGGTTTCAAGACTTGCTTAGATTGTTCTGAGCCTGCAGTATTGCCAAAGAGGAGGGCAGTTGCTCTTTTCACCTGTGGTGACACTTGTGCACCTTCCCGCATGCCAGCACTGGTGCTCTTGTGGCCACACAACTAGTCAGGCAGGTCTCTCTGATCTGGCTGGCTGTATAAATGCTAATGCTGATACTAGAAATAGGTTGAGAATATGTGGCTGAGCCTGTAGACTGAGGGCAAAACTGCCCGTCTCGACTGCAGCAGGTACTTAGGACAGCTTGTGCGAATCATGCAATAGTAGTCTGAATGGTAGTCTGAAACATGGTAAAAAGATGGAAGAGTGTTTGCTTTTTGCCATCAGAATCTCCAGAAAAGTTAGTCTGTATTATACCGGGCACTTTAAAAATAGAGTACTTTCCCTAAACAATCTGAGGTCTTGACAGGCCTAATTAATGAGTATGCCTTGAAAAGGAAGGGTGATGGCAGAGGAATAGAAAAAAGCAATAAAATAGGTAATAAAAGTAAGTGAGAGTACATACCAATTTAGACTAGTTGATGCAGTCCTTCTCAAGTAATTTGGAACTTACTGAGTTGACGTCTGTCTTGGATAATTGGAAATAAAGATGCTGGTCATCTTGATTTCCCTGATTTATTATAGGTGCTTTACCTGAAGCAATTTGAGAGGGCCTGGCTTAATTCTGTTTCTCAAGGTGCTTACGCTTACCGACTTGTATCGTAAAGGCTTCTGTTAGAAATCTGGGGATGGATTTTTTGAGAGATCATTTAGTCTAGGGGTCAGTTGCTAACTTATAAGCTTGACTGTGCTCCTGAAACAATAAGACTGTCATAAAAGGCTCTTGCAAATACAGGGCAATTGACGTTTGGGATCAATGTGAAAACTGTTGGTTCCAAACAATAATTTTATGCTAATTTTCTATCTGGTATGCATTCCCACATGGTATACTATTCTTGTGCACAGTGACTTTTGTGCTTTTTATTTTACGTTATTCTACAAAAAGTAAATACATATATATAGAGACAGACAGAGAGAAAATGCCTCATTTTTACCTGCTGAATGTTGGTGTGATACTCACTAAAATCTGTTGTTGCTTCTATATCAGTTAAATTTTAGTGGTTCACATCCAGAAAAGCCATTAACATCTATTCTGAATATAGTTCATGATCTTGTACTGAAACAAGAGCAAATATCCCCAAAGTATCCTTCACTGATACTCTTTAAACTGCAAGCTCTTAGGGAAGGGTTCCGCAGTATGCGTAGCTAATCTGCCTTCATAACTCTTCCTAGTATAAAAATTAAAACACTTTTTCCTGCAGATTCAGCTGATTTGTCTTGTCATCCTTCCTTCTCCCCAAACTGAGCATGATATTCTTTATAACAAAATCTGTGTGCATGCAGATTGTCATGTCTTGCTTTGGTTTTCCCTTGACTACGGTAACCCCAGTTTTCTTCTAGTTTTCTTGTAATCATGTTTTCTAGTCTCCTCTTTCCACTTGTTCCTGGTGGTAGTCTTATGTGGTGCCCAGAATTGAACTCCATTCTCCAGCTGAGGTCTTGCTGGTATCAAGAAGAAAAGAATAAGTGCGTTTTGTCCTGCATATGATGATGTTAACATATCCAAAATGAGATTTGCCACTTTTTTCCAATGGCATCATGTTACTGGCATTTATAAAGCTTGTTGTCTTTTATGTTGCTCAGCTGCTGTTCTGCCTTACCTGCTCTTCTCCGCTTTGTGCATTTGATTTATGAAGTTGTGTGACTACTCTTAATGCTTCTGTTTTCAGCCAAGCAACAGACATAATGGAAACAGCAGGCTGGAAGTCCATGATCCACTCTCACCCTCACTTAGTAGCAGAGGCCTTTCGTGCACTAGCATCTGCACAGTGTCCACAGTTTGGCATTCCACGCAAACGGCTAAAACAGTCATGAAATCTTCCATGAACTTTAGAGAAATTGAATTGACTCTACTCCTCCATGCCCAGAGGTGTTTTCACAAACCATAACAAGAGTTTTTGTTATCGTTGTCCACAGAACCGAAGCTGAAAAAGCCTATTGTTTGCTTTTCAGATGGATAATTTATGGTTTAATCCTCAGCTTTAAATTAGACTGATTAATTCACTGAAAGGCCTTAAATTATCTGCAATGACTCTCTAGTCCATATAGTCTAATGTATCTTTTTTTTAATTATTTTTTTTAATGTGCCTTGTCTTTTTGACTGGGCTCTGCAGGATTGCACTAGCTCCATAATGCAGTAAAGTTGATAACTGAAGATTAATTTTTGAAAGGGATCTTCCATTATTTTCAAAAAAAAATATTGTAGTTTGGTCCTGTGCTAACTGGAAGGTTTTAACTAGCCTCTCAATGAGAGCACTTGAACTGGAGGCACGTACTGTTTCCTAGACAAGTGCTAAATATAGGGAGAGCCTGTTTACCTTCAGAGAATGCCTACAGGCTATTTATGGCAATATACTGCTTTGAACATAATTTATTTTTCATTGCGGGGGCAAATATGCAATGGTTTGGCCCAGAAGTGTATTTTCATTACAGTTTGTAATGCTTATTGTGTGTGTGTCAAAGCTGTCCAAACGGTAAAAAGAAACACAGAATAAACCTCTTGCTTGTGTTTCTTTATGGTCCATCACTAGTTTACATTTAATGCAGAACTGAACGAGAAGTAAAGTGTTCAATGTGAAGACATAATAGTATTGTAGATGGAAAAAATATATCCCACATGTATGGTTACATAGAAAAGTAAAGGATGCATAGAATGACCAAATGTAAATTGAAGAAATGGGCCAAATGGATTCTGAATATGCACTTTTAATGTGTAACTTTTGTATGTTGTGTGGTACATATATATTTTGCTTTTGATGAATTAATGAGGTACAGGTAATTGTGGCTTAACTTTTTAGATACATTTTAAGATACCCACAGCCACATGGGATTTAGTTTTGTTATAACAAAAAAGAAAGGCATGTCTTTTAAGACTCAGTTGAAGGTGACTATTGCAAGCTTTCCTATTTAAGTAACGGAATATTTTTGCTCATTTGGAAAAGACATGTGAATGGTAAAAACTTTGGAGGGGGATTTTTCTCATCTCGATGTGTACAGCTTCCATTCACATCTGAGGAAGTTACTTACACATCAAGAAGAATATTTCCCTGAAATGTCAGATGATACTTGCAAGCAGAGACTTGCTCAATCTTGCATTTCGGTTATTGTACTAGCATTGTGGATGGTATTGAAATTCTGCATAATGTGAAAAGGATGAAACATTTGTAAACTGCTTGTCATGGGCCAGTTCTTTATTATATGAATCTTAGCTTTAATACCAACATCCTCAGTGTTTGATAGCTTTGTTTACGATTGGGAAGAAAAGTCTGCAGTAGTACACACTCTAAATGTTTCCTGAGTTATTACATTGAATTTACTGTAATGGTGATAATATGCTATGTTTGTTCTTTGGGAAGACTTGGGTTTAACAGTGGGGAATGGGAGGCGATCTCACCTAATTTATAAACATATTTGGAAAAAGATTTTTAGTTTACCTATTTAAGAAAAAAAAAAGTTATACAGGGAGGAGAGAGGAGAAGTCTCAGATTGTTTACTATCTTAAAACCTCTCTCCATCCTCATTTCGTTAAAATTCATCTGAATTACTCCTAACGACGTTTTTAGAGGAAAGAGAATATAGTTTTATACCTTGGCATCTAGTCATCCATTAGCAAAGGCAAATTGGAAAAAATGCCCACTCCGATTTCTAAGAATAAAATAACCTCTAAATGCATTTTCTTCTTACGTTCTAACTAAATCTTTATGGATAAAGTGTAAAATCAGAAACTTTAATAGTACATAAGGCATCAAATTATATATTTACAGAGATTTATCCTTTTATCAATTTTTAAATATTTATCTAAAATAAGGTCTCATAAACTTTCTTCATAATAAGACATAAAGGTAATTGTTCCCTCCGAAATAGTGATGTTTTTGCTGCACTGTGTAATGCGTTAGGACTATATATCCTCATACCCATCACTGTTAAAACTTGCAGCGCTAACCTATGAAGTGACTTGAATATTTAATACTGTAATAATTGTCCAGTTCAGCTTGTTCTAAAGTGACAACATACAGTAATCTAATGGAAAGCTTAAGGATTTTATGAAGTTTTTTTTTTTTTAAGAAGCTTAAATAGCACACTTTGTACCAAAAAATGTCAAACACTGTGCTGTAATATTATCTACGTTGTAGAGTGTCCACTTTTCAAGTCAGGCAGTGTATACCATATGTTACGCTAACAGAAAATCATGATAATTGATCTGTTTAGATTTGGGTTTATTTATTATGTATATTTTTAAGTTTTATCAGCTCTTAAGAAAAAGGTAAAACAGTTGCTGTATTCTTAAGTGAGTGCACTAATTATTCACCTCTTTATTCTTTAATTAACTACATGCAGTGTTCTCACTGGAATGGGATAGCTGGTAATAACCCTCTCCTTCAGATTCAGTAGCTTGTTTTTCTTGCCCACATCTCAAGAGCTTGCCCTTCAAAACCTCAGTTGTCGGTTGTAAGTGCAGCGAATATGAAACCATCTAATACAATGGACAGTTCTTTCAGGCTGAAATCGTAGGGGGCTTTTCTTAGTTTTATATAAAGATAGGAATACAATGTATGAAGGTGCCATGTTTTGGCTTGCCAACACTACTCCCTCGGATACATGTGAACCACCGCTTCCAGGCTTTTCTGGGGAGAACCCTGCATGTGTACTGTGTGTGCGTGCGTGTGTATGACTGTGCAGTGTTTTTTGTTAAGAATGACTTTCTAAAAATAAGGACTCAGTTTGCTGTTAAACGCTATTGCCTTTTTATGTATTTGTTTGAACCTCCATTTGAACCTCTCCTAAGGAGATGCTTCAAGGAATAATCCTTATTTACTAGTCCATTTACTGCATGCAGAAGTATGAACACATTGTGCCTTTTTTAGGATACTATTGCAATGAAGGGAAGATTTAAGAGGATATAAGATCTTTTTTTAAAAGTGTTTTTAAAGTTGAAGGAGAATGCTATCTGATGCACAGTTGAGGCAGAAAAGTTATGGAATATTGATTTGAGCTCTGTCATATGTTAATTCTTTCGTCCTAAATTCCGTTTCACTGCAGTAGAAACGAAACGAAATGTGGGAGAACTTCACAGATATAAGTTGAATAATGGTATCTCTTGTGAAAAATGTGAAAATATTTGCTGTTAAAAGCTGAGTGTACATCAAAATGCACTAATCATGAACAGAAAGTTGTACAAGTTACTCTGGTCCTGATGCTTTTAAAATATTGTTTCGCCCCTGCACAGTGTCAATAGAAGCCCCATGTGGATATGATGTTCCTTTTGAATCCTCATTGAGGGGTTTCCCTTTTGGGAGAATAAAGCATTGTGCAGTATTTGAAATTGTGTTTTATGAAAGACAGTAGATTGGAAAAGTGAAATATAGCTGCCTGAACTGATGTTGAATTTTGTTAGATTTTTACAGTTGGTTGAAATTCCTAATCTTAATTTTTTTAATTTTTTTTGTAATTTTCAAATGGAGTGTTATTAGCTGTTCTCTGTTTGGTATTGATAGCATATTTAGTAGAAAGCTTAGCCTGTTAGCTAGCAAGACACTGACTTAGTCTTATATCTTGGCTTCTGCTCACAGTAAATGGACTACATTTCTAAAGGGAATTCACATTTTAAGTGTTTTGCAATGAACTTCATCCTATTTGTAATCTGGTTTTTGAAGGCTTAACATAAATGAGTCCTATTTTAGAAATTAAACCAGTGAAATGACTTAGACCTGTTTTGGGGTGGAAATGATTAAGAGAGTTCAGATGTGTAAACAGTTGTATCAAACCATCCAGCCTTTTTTTATCAGCTGATGTTAATGGTGAAATACTTTTTGTACCTTGTTGCTGAAAATATTTTTGCGTTTCAGCACATCAAGTTACAATAAAGTTGTTACTTATACAGAATGTGCCTGTGGCTTGTATATTTTTTTTTCCCCTATATGTGTTTAAAATGGCTTTACTGCTCTCTTTTGAGGAAGAGGTATTTTAACAACACTGTGTATCAGCCAAGGGTAAAACATACTGCTATCCTTTTGGGAATCTTGTTGGGTAGCATCAAATTGCAGTCCTGCTTTGATCTCCACTAGCTTAGTTATTTTTCTGTTTTTACACTCTTAAATAAAGAGCTGTGAATAGCTTAGAACCTCTCTACCTGAGAAACGCCTGCCTGCATGGACTGCGTAGGAAGGGGAGGTGGACCTGTGGTAATGAAGGCTTTGTCCATGGGTCTCACTGTTTCCAAGAGATGCCTCTTCTTTCTCTGCCATGGGAAACTCCTTTTTTCCTGTCAGTGAGTGCAGGTTGTAGTGCCCACGTACAATGGGAATCTTGCATTTGTTATGGGGGAAATGCTGTTTGAGAATAATCTGTATGGGTAGCTCATGGAATTTAATATGTTAATAGATATTTTGCGACAATGCATAGAACTGTTCATATGCTATTCTGTCTACTTGGATTTGGAGGCAGACACTTTGGGAAGCAGAACTCCAGAAAAGGATAACGTCGAGGTAAGTCCCTGTATAAAAAGTGGCGCAGGCTGTTTGAACAGACACAAATGCCTGTCTTATGTCCAGGCTTCTGCTAGAATATGGCACCATTGACTACCGCGATTGTTCCTAAGGTGGCTCGGGTAACAAGCATAGCTACACGGCCGCTGTTACCAGCGCTATCTTGGGTGTCTTAGCATAGAATTTCACCATTTGATGTGTAGGGACACACAAAATTCTGTGTTTGCCCAGAACATATTCCTGTACAGTTATTCCACAACAATTCAGCTTAATTAGCTAAAGTTCCTCCTGGAGCTTATGTCAAAAACTGCATAGGGCATCTTCACAAGTAGTGCCAGTAACGAAGGGAACTTGATTGGTTAGCACGGTGAATGGTTTGGTTTTATTTATGCAAGTCCCAATTCTTGAAATGAGCCCCAACTTTTATGTAAAGGGGATATTAAGCTTAAGTTTTTTTTCTTCCTTTTTAAGGATATATTTTTGTCCTCTAGTCTTTCTGAAGTCATGCAATGTAAGTAAGAAATGCAGTTTGTTTTGGGATGCTGCCTAAATGACGACTGTTTTTATTTAATTGAGATTTCAGTAAGGTTAGCTATGTTTTATACAGAAGAAAGTTTCCTTTAATATTGGCATTTTTTGGTGTTTTAGATGGCTACTACTACAAGTATTGTTTAAGTGAGAGTATTACACGATTATATTCCACTGCAAATTTTACTTGCCATGTTTATTAAGTAAATTATACTAGTGGTACAACTATTTGCATTATACATAAACTATTTTGCACTTATCATGGTGATTGTATGGTAATACAGGAGATAGTGTTAATTGCTGTTAAATTATTGTTAAAATTGTACCATTTTTAACTGTTCTGTCTCCAAACTTTAGTGATCGTACACTGCCTGCCTAGAGTATCATATTGTATTGTCTAATTTGAAGTCTTGCTCTTTGTCCTCTCAGAGGAAGCTGGAAGAAATGAGTGCGGCAGTTGAATGAAGCATTTTAGATCTATGGTGCAAAGGACATCCTTTTTCAACTACAAAACAGTATATGAAATTGATGCTTTATATGTAAAATTGGGTTACTCGTAAATCAAGTGTAAATGGCAGAAATCGGCTTGTGATTTGGGGGTGGGGGGAGGAGGAGGGCATAATTCTGCAGAGTTCGCTTGGCCTTGTCTTCTAGAGTAACTACTAAGATTTGAGTTCTGAAAGTATTTTGAAGGAGACTAATGGCAGTAGCAATATGTGGTGATCTTGTAAAGGTAGAGAGGGTCTGACTTTCCTTGAAAGCATTACCTGACACTATTTTTGTCTTGCAGTCTTAGTAGACTGTGGAGCATAACAATATTTTTATACAGGTACTGTATTTCAATCAAGGGAATGTATATTATAAGTGAAAATCTGTGATTTCCCAAGCTTATGCATGTTTCATGTGTTTGGCAGTGATAGTCATGTAGAAAATAAATTGTGCTATATCAAACTTAGCACCACTGATCAGAATGGAGGCAGTTTATGCCGCATTTTAAGTGGTTCTAGTTTTTGACTTCCCACATCTCTCACTGTGTAAATAACTGAGTCGTTACAGTTGATTAAAGGTAAATTTTGAAGCATATGCAAAAAATTCTAATAGTTTGACTTTCATGAAGCATGGAAGTCTCAAATCCAGTATTTTGACCTAACTGGCAAGAAAATATTTAAATGTTTCAGTTTTATGTTGGTAACTTTCTATAACATTTAAAAATAATTTTTATGTATTATGTATGCATAACTTTATAACCTAACTAGGTTAAGTTTGAGGCCTTGATATTCTCAAACTACCCGCTACTGAAGCGTGCAGCTAAAATGTCTCCTCCCTGTGGTTGGCAAAGACTTGCTAGGATTGTTATAACGTCCCCAAATTAAGAGTTGTGATCTTCTCCGTAGAGCCCACACTACTTTTTTTTTAAATTAAATGCTATTTTTTTTTGCGTTATGTTCCTGTTATATCTTCCAGATGTGTTGTTCCTGGAAGGGAATCGCAGGGCAATAAATAGGTGGACTTAAAATTTCGTTGCCGCTTTTGCCTGTAGCTGTTGTAAGCGCTGGGATGTGGAGAAGCAGGCCCAGAGTATGGTCACTAGGGCTGCCTCATAGCTGCTAAAAAGGGCAGCTGGAGTTGACCGATGCTATTTGATTTAGGAATTTGATTCTGATCACAGGTGTAATGATGTCCTTTACCTATAAAATAGCTTCTGAGCTATCTCTTTGGTACTGTGTTAACGCTGAAGTGTTCTTAGCTGTTAAGGAAACAATACCTGGAGCTGTTGCATGTTTACTGGCTTTTCTGGGTAAGGTCAAGTTACGAAAGGTAGATGCAGAATAGAATTTTGGCAAGTTCAGTTTCTCTGATTAAAAGAAGGGAGATACAACTTTTATTTTCTCTTAACACTTCCTTTAAATAGAAAATATATCATGTCAGATTTAGTTAATTTCAGAGCAAACTATAAGAAGGGTTAAACTGCTGTTAGGAGAATATGAAGTGTTTTACCAAATGCTGGAATAGCAAACATCTATGTTTGACAAGCTGACAGACCAGAGAATTGAAACTTAATGAATCTGAATGCTTTCTGCCATGTACTTCCATTTTCTCAAATTATTTCTTCAATTAGTTCTAGTGTTTGTGAAGGAATGACTAATGATAATTAATACATTCTTATAATTTGCATATTCAGCCTTCAGTCTTTCTGAAAAACAGATTTGTGTATGAGGGCAAGCCAGGTTTGTTTTTTTTTCTTTGGGTTGTTGGAGTAGTTCAGATTTTCAATTGTGTATTATCAGTTGGCAGGGAGACTAGATAGAATGAGTTTAATAACGATTTTTCTGTAAGAAATAAATTGGACATAATACGTATATGTATAAATCCTGATGTAGGGTTGCTTCTGTTCTTCAGAGACATTTTTAGGGCCTCTGTATGCATCCTTGATGTTATCATTCAGTATTATCCTACTCTTATGAGGCACATGGGTGGAGAGAGTTACCCAAATATGTCGTGTGAATTTCATGTTTAAATTTGGTAGCAGGAGATTCTGAAAGCTGTTCCTTTTACTGTATCTTGTCTGCCTAGGAGCCCAAGCTTTCCACGCTGCTCTGCAAGATGTCTAACCTTTGACTCCGAAGAACAGTTTTGGTTTCTGCCTAATTGGTCTTACCTCTTCTGATACAAATGCTCATCCAACGGAAAGAACCGAGCTCAGACAGAAGTATTTTCTCAGTAATGAGAAAAAGGGTAGCAAGATAAAACTTCACAATAGATTGGCAGGAAATAAAGATTCAATTTCAAGAAAATAGAGCGTAATATTTGGCAGAACAATCAACTGAATATGGATTTTGTGCAAAGGAGATGCTTTAAAGTTACTAAAGCAGAAAAACACCTACAGGTTATAACGAATAGCATGCAAGATGGGACCTTGCAAAAACAAAAAAGATGTGAGCATGACCAAATTGTAGAAGCTAAGGTATTGTGCTACAGTCTGAGAAGTGATACTATGTGTTCATATGCAGCTTTTAATATTGCCAAAATTGCTGTTTGGTTCCAGACCGTTTCATCACCAGAGTTTTTCTGCATCTGGGAAACATAGAGGAAAACAAGATTAAGATCCATGAGGTAAAAATGATGATGCATCCTTTAACAAGATTAAGATTTTACCTCATGGATTAAGATCCATGAGGTAAAAATGATGATGATGCATCCTCTGCAGAATGTTTGTCGTCTTTCACAGAGTTGCAACTTGTCACATTTAAGCTATCAAGAAGCTCAGCACCAGAAGATAATAGTTAAACAAAGGGCTGTCTCAACACGCTTCATTTAAGTGTCTTAGGGAGTGGAGTGCTAGATAGAATCACAGAATGGTTGAGGTTGGAAGGCACCTCTGGAGATCATCCAGTCCCACCCCCCTGCTCAAGCAGGGTCCTCTAGAACGTATTTCCCAGGATCGTGTCTAGATGGGTTTTGAATATCTCCAGGGAAGGAGACTTCACCACCTCTCTGGGCAACCTGTTTCCTCACAGGAAATAAGTTTGTTTTTTTTCCTCATGTTCAGATGGACCTTCCTGTGTTTCAGTTTGTGCCCGTTGCCTCTTGTCCTGTTGCTGGGCACCACGGAGAAGAGTCTGGCCCTATCATCTCAGCACCCTCCCTTCAGATACTTCAGACCCTCCCCTCAGATAGTGTTAAAGCTGGGCACATTGGATACCTAAGTGCAGGTCCATTATAAGCTTATAGATGTTTCTGCAGTTTCCTATTTTTCCTTTAAAATGGCAAAGGAAATTGTTGTGGTAATAAAGGACCTGCAACACAGCTCTGCAGAAGGCAAACCAATGACTGGTAACGTTAGATCCTGTTCTGGGGTTGGTTCTGTTC